AAAAATACGTTTTCTTTCTGCATAATATAAATTTACATACACAATTATACTCCATAAACAAAATATATTAAGGTATTTATGAACGGTCGAAATTAACCAGGTGGTCGAAATTACACCACCCTACCCTAATACACACAAACTGTTTCCATTGACATTCCGAATAAATATATGTTAATGAGCACAAGAAAACTTATCAAATGCATTGCATTTGCTACACTAACAAGACATGGATAGTGAAACTCAGTACTAAATAACCTTGGCATAAGGAGACATTTATAAAAATACCAACGACTTCAACTTAAGGATACAAAACAGGGACAGGGATTCACACCAAACTTTGTGACATTAACACTGTTCTTGTGCAAAATAGGGAGCAAAAATAAACACTGAACTTCATTCATGATTGCAAAATCTTTATAATGAAATTGCAATATTTATCAGTATCTTTTAATTGTACAATTGTCAGCAAAATATTTTTAAATTGTGCACAAAGAGTTTCAAATTTTAGCTAAGGTCTTTTGTCATCTTTGTATTAATTTTTGGGAAATTTCTAGTATGCCGGTCCCCAGAATCACGCGACTGCACATGAGCGGTTATTTCCGTTGCTATGCAGATCGTAAATAAACGCCATTTTCTCATCGCTTCAACAAAACTCGTGCGATCGAGTGATTTGGGTAATAATAGAATACCGCTATCAGAAAAATAAAAAATCTACTTACCTTAGAAATCAAAATCATCCATTCTGTCATTTAAATTAAGAGACAAAAAAGGGTTGTAGCACTTGGCGTTGTTTCTTGCGTTGAGATTTGTCGCAAGTAAGCTGGGGGATGAGAATTCGGGGGTTGTACACGGACTTGATAAGCACTAGAAATTTTAGAAATGGGTCTTGGGAGTCTTTTAAGTATTTTTTACGTATACAGGTCTGACTTAAATAAGTGTCATACAGTGATTTTACAGTTCCTCTTACTGGCAATGATTTTGTCAGTGCTCTCTAGGTTGACTCGATTGTGTTATTATGCGCACCAGTGGTAGGGTCAACAAAATGTATGGAATGGTTACATGTAACTTTTAAGCGATTGAATCCCTCCTGGTCGAGAATGTCATATACTTTCCAGCAGTCAGATATGACGGTAGTTCCAGGCAAAATATTCTGTTTGATAATGTTCAGTAATGTTTCTCTGGAACGATCGGTCACTGTAGTAAAAAACCACTTCTTTGATCTTCTCTCTATCCCTCCAAACACCCACATACCTTCACCTTTTCGTCCTTTATGAAATTTTCTCTTTCCAAATTTGCACTCGTCTATCTTCACAACCTTCCCCTCTCCTCCTATGTTTTCAGATTCTTTTAACAATACACAAGTACAAACCTCCTGCGAGAAATTATACCAGTCCACAATGCTTTGCCTAGCGATGTCCAGTTCGTGTCTGATGAATAATTCACATACTTTTTGCACCCAAAAATAAGTTATGAAAAGATTTTTTTCCAGAGTTAATCTATGATTTTCGAACCAACTCCCCACTCTCACGGACACTTTTTAATGACACTTTTTATTAAAACATCGCCAAAAGTGTTCGTCACTGGAATAACTGGAATCCTTCCTTAATCCAAATTTTCCCGTCTCACAACTTTTACAAACTTCACCATTTAAATTAATGAGAACATTTAATCCAATTAACCACTGAATTAAACTATCCAAATCGGCGCTTTTCTGGTAAATATCCTTTAACTTCACTGGCATTTCACACAGTCAGCTGTTTTTGTTTACAAATTACGTCACGTAAGTATACCAGTGACGAAAAATCATAAATTTTCATTAATTTCTACAGAACGCGCTCGAGACAGCATTCGATGTTGACAAAAAAAGTCGATTTTACAGGAAGTTTTATTTTGTAGTTTTATTTCTGGATTGTGTTTTACTTCAAATTTAAAAAAAAAAACAGCGTTTAAAAACAAGTTTTTTAAACCTTATTTTTTACGAAGAATTCATTTTTGGGCTTAAGGTAGAGATTGATAGCTTGTCAACAAAAAAAACTACCCATTGAATTTTTCTGAATTTTTTATATGTTTCTGTTGAGTCCTTACACTGCAAACATAGTATGTCTATGTCTATATGAATATAAGACACTTTTGAAATACCTTTTTTTATATATAAATATCATGATTTTTTCAAAATTAAATGCATATTAAGTCAGCCTCATTAATATGGGCACTTTTGCTCCCAAGGAAATTATTTAGATTAAAGAATTGTCTTAATTAAACAACTGGTTTATAAGGATAAAAATCAAATATTTTAGTTTCTAAATGTAGGCCACACTCTAAGGCCAAGACCATGGGATTAAAGGAAAAAAATAAACGTGAAATACAAAGACTCAGCACAAACTGTTTAAGAGTTGATACCAAAGGATCAAGTTTTTGTGGAAATAAAAAACTACATGTACCTGTCAGTGACACATCAATTCATATACAACTAGCAACCTAACTATTATATGTGGAATTTAAATACTTTTCTTTTTACATCTTATTCCATTTTTTTTAATTCAGTTTTGTCCCTTATTACCTTATTGATATAAATCCAAAATTCTTTTGTAACACTGCAGATGACACTTGATTAGCCAAGGATCCTATATTTCCATGGGATCTGTAACATGATGAAAATAAAGTAAAGTAAATAGCTTGATCTATTCTTAAAAAAAATGTAGAATTTATTAACAATTTTGATTTATTTTGCAAATTTAGCTATGATAATGTGAAGAGGTCAATATTGTTAAAAAACCATGTCAATTACAAGTTTTTTAACAATAGTGACTTCTTCATGTTACCATTCAAATTCTTTGGTGCTTTAGTTGAAACAAATTCATTCAAGTTAGAAAACATCTTTACATTTTACAACTTTTTTAGTTATACAGTTTTGAATTCAATTTACAACATGACTTTTTATATGTTATACACAAATATTTAACCATACATGTATTTAAGTCAATAGAACACCTACATGTAAGTAGTGATGCAGGGATCCCTGCTTAGATTCTCAGTCCAGCCATACATGTTCCTCGTTTCCTGACACACAAGTATGCCACTTTATGTTCAGTTTGCTGTAGTAGCAGATCTGGCTTGAACTTTCCTGAAATATTAATATGATTTTTGAGAAATTATTGACTTCAGAAAATACTTCTATATGTATACAATAATACTGTATGTACATTATGGTGTTTAAATTAAAAATACAAGGACTAAAAATCATAAATTTCAATTTTTAATACATGCATTATAAAACACCTCCTTTTTACAACCCCTTGAAAAATTTTTCTGTATTTTCCCTGATACATGTGCAAGTGTAAATTGAAAAAAACAAATACAAACCAATGGCTATTTTGGAGTTAATGTAAAAAGCACCCTTGACATTCCTCCTTCCAGGTGACACTTGATTTGGTCACATTATTTCAGCAGAGAAAGCTGAATACACTGTCTTGTTTAAAGCTTGCTTCACCTGTAGTATTAAATATTTCTTTTATAATCTATGATTAATGAATATGATTTCTGTTTATAATCAGGACCCTTTTGAACATAAAACAAATACATGTACATACAAAATTTATTACAGGTACATAAATATTACATAAGGTTAAAAAAAATTGTCTTGTTTCCTGCTACTCGACTGAACCTATTTTTTTGTCACTTGATCCTAAGTTTTCTTTTTTTCAACGCAACTTTTACAATTTGCTTGTTATTTCAAAAAGACAAATGATTTGCAAGTAAAGGTCCACTATCATTTATAAAAGGGGTTATAATAATTAAAAAGCATCTGCCATCCAAAGCAGAGAAAGCTTATACATTTCTGCATTTGAACAATTTAAGCAAAATATGTTTTTCCATTTTTTGATCTGAGTAACTAAACACCAACTCGTGTATTTGGCACGGATAAGTATGATTACTTTACATTTTTTACCAATCCGGCCTTTATTATGTTCTGACACCAGAAATGTCCGATTTTATTCTTCTATTCTAGAAGTTACAGACTGGTCATGAAATAAGTTTTAATTTTTCGCTAAATAAAACTACTTTAGGAAGGAAAAAATAAAATCTATGAAAGTTATTAGTAATTGAAGCTAATTATACTGGTTGTACCAGACCTGTGCGTAAACAAACAAGCACCATCATCTAAGCACCATAGTCATGATCGATATATTATAAAATAAAATCGTAAATATTCACCTTATGTATCTGACACGGACACAGCATACAAAAAATCTGTTCTGCAAAATTTGACTTCTTTCGTCATACCAATTAACATCTGTAGGGTTATGGTCTTTAAAATGTCTATACAGAAAACAACATCAGACACAGATCGATACCGGTGTACCCACGTGGTGCTGCAGCTGACACTGGACAAGGAGTAGTTTCACCAAAATTATGTTCATGTTCGGCTTCAGTCTCAATTTTATTTTGATTCTCATGAAGATGCTTCAATTTCGAGAACCGTAAAGATTTAATACGTATTGTAACTTTGTCTTCTAAGTCGAGGAAATTTCTCGATCGCTTCGTCGGCCATCTTGTAGCATAAACAATAATGTGTAAATGGAGACGTTTATTTGACGGCGTTCCGGAATCCGGAAAAAAAGCACGTGCAAATATGCAAATTGTTTCTATCACGTGATTGCTATCGGTCTCTACCTTAATTTGACGATTTTTGGCTTTTTATTGATTTTTTCGATCGCGTGATTCGATTGCTCACGCGATCGCTCTATAAAAATGCACCGCCTTCGGCGGCACCTGTTTTAGCGCCATATTTATAGGGACCGGTATACTACATGTATAAGTGTTTCATTAAATTTTGTATATTTTTTTAAATCAATTTTTAATACCATGAATATGAAGGTAAACATATTTATAAAACAATTATCATTTACTTAACATGAAATATCAAATTGAATACACGAACTTAAAAGATTTATCTTCAATTAATAAAAAATATTTTGTATTTTTTGTAATTTTTCTAGGTATCTTCCTAACAATAACATTACCGTATTGGACAAAGATATTTTCCTGGGACTTTCAAAATTAGAGACTCAGTGAGGAAGCTGTTGTATATATAATTTTTCAATCATTCCAATCCTGATAATATCGAGAAACTTAATTAACATTGTTTTTATATTTTCTGTTTCTACAAATTTATTCAATTGCTTTATTTAGGTATCAGTTGATATCCGTTTTAAATCATTGTGATATTATCTAAATTCAATTTTAAATTGTTTTAATTATTGTAGGATAGTTGAAGGCAATCCTCTGCACTGTGGCTGCATCTTGGCCGATTTTCTCAGGTTTGCCAAATTAAGAAACTTGACGTTAGAACAAAGGTCTGAACCTACATGTTCAACTCCCAGTATTCTGACAGGAGTATTGTTGCGGAATCTCTCCTCCGAGGACATGGACTGTGACGTCACTACAGCAAAAACACAATTTCTGGAAATTACAGGTAAAATGATCATTTTCTTACGTAAAAAACTCTCACTGATTTGTCTGCCTTTCCTCATAGACAACATATCCTATAATAGACACCTCTTTTTGGAATCAACTGAAGTTGAAAGGTCAGGTAGGTATTCAACATTAAAAACATCGATGTTGTTAGCTAGCGACAATGCAAGTTAAACGAGTATATCAACCTACTTTTCTTATATGTACTTTATTTATGTCTACTTTAATTAATTATGTGTACTTCACTTATGTGTACTTTACTTATGTTGCTTTAATTATTCTACCTTCATGTAAATTGGTTGAATCCGAATCACAGAGAAATATTTCCTTAAAGTTCCCTATTACCCGCTGAATAATGAAGCCTCGCCCTCCAGCGCAGCACAAGTCTACAACTGACGACGGGTGATATTATAAAAGAAAATTTTGACTGCGCAGAATTTATGCGCGCAAGGATCCCTGTAATATGTATTGGTATAAAACTTTCTGTATAGCATAATAAAAATTTTCGTCACTCTTCAATCATCAACCTCAGTTGCGTCTCGGTTGACAATGGTTTTTGGACGAAAGTTTTCAATGTTACTCTCAACTACATGCAATACTTATATGATATCATTTATCTTTCATTTATGAATACTTACCCATAAACTAAGAGCTTTAGCTAGCTTCATATTCGCCCTTCAAGGTATTCATGCTGTTGCTGTTACCAAACATATTTTCTATGAAAATATAAAAAGGGATCTTGTTTATCATTTTAATCAAAATTTAATTTGCACGTCAGAATTGCTTCATGAATACTTGGTAAACTTTGCACACTAGAAAAGAGATTCTACAGCTTACAAATTAGAAATGAACTTAGATTGGATTTGAGGAAAAGGGTTTTTATAGCAAATGTTTTACAGGACTTGAGGAAAAAACTAATAAAAACTAATAAAAACTCTCCGTGGTATTAAGGAGGAACAAGATCTAAATTAGCTGAAAAAAATTCCTGTCAATAAATTTTTTCGTATTTTTCATATTATTAATTTGATATGTACTTAAATGCACAGAATCTTCTATCTTAAAATAAAAATGGTAATCAGCAGATTAATATTTTGCCCGATTAAAATAAACATTTTTACGGTGTTTTGCATCATTGAACAATACTAGAACCTGATTGGTGTAACGCTGGAAAGGAAATAATAAAAAATGCAATTCATATCCTTTGTATCAGGTAAAAAATATTACAATGGAAATCAAGGTGGTAATTCCAAGGTCAGAGAGAGAGAGAGAGAGAAAGAGAGAAAGAGAGAGAGAGAGAGAGTCCATTTAAAAATTAATCAATCACATGTTTATTGGAAACGGTTGGTTTCTTTTTCACAAAATCTTATGTATCCAAAATAATTAATGAAAAAAGACCTTAAAAATGGGAAAAAATAACTTCATATCTAAGTCAATTTGTGTCTCATTAACCGTCTACAAAAGCGATACGCAGCTAAATTTCCGTTTTTTTGCGCTAAGAGAAAATGATTCGCCTGATTTGGTTAACTTTTTGGTAAGTTATTCATTTGTACAATATTCTGTCCAAAAAAATTTTTATGAAAAATCATTTGATGAAATGATACAGAAGAAAACACCTTTTAATTATCAATTCGTTTTCAATAATAAGACAATGTTCAGCATATTGAGAATCGTATTTTACGATACTGTAATAAAACAATTGTCACAAATGAAAGCATCAGGACAGGTAAGATCTTTTTTTATATAGTCAATTACATTTACTTGTTCATGTGTACTTCAAGCCCGAGGTATCTATTGAAATTGAACTTAGCCTGTTCCTCTGCATTCCTTTATTTAGTTTTAGTTTTAACAACTATTGAAGGTAAACGCTTGCAGAGTGCCATTGGTAAAAACGCTGAAAAATATTGCATCCTTCAATCATTGCCTTGATCAGCACATTTTTTCTTCTTTTCTCCCTCATTTCTGTTTGTTTTAAAGGCACGTTTTATCGAAATTGTCCATGAATATAATTTTAATTCAGTAATTTTTTATGCTCAATAAATTCGTCATTTTCCAATCTTTTTTTTTCTCTCAGAGTTCAAAGAATATTTATTTATTTTTCTAATAAGAAATTATTATTATATTTATTAAAGAACAGCTTAAAATAAATAAATAAAAGAACAAGGAAACAAAGTCAAAAAATAAAGTCATTTTTTTACCTTTCCTTTAACCTTGACCTGACTTCTTCAAAGTAGTGTTTCGCTCTGTTAAAGTTATACACTTTAAACTAATATAACTTATGGCATTTTATAGTACGGTTGGGAATCTATATATTTTGTTTACCAATAAAAGTTGCGAAAAAACTGTAAAGTACGCCATTTAAATTAAACACGTTTATAAAGTTATCAAATTGTTACTATTTATAATCCTGCTAGGGGAGAAATGAATATTTCTAAGTAAATCTATCACGTAACACCGTCGCTATATTTTAGATTGATAAACAAACATGGCATCAAGAAAACGAGGTAGGCCGTTTGAGATACAGCTCTGGTGCAACTCACTTTGAAAAATTAGGCACTTTGATTTTTTTTTTCAAAGAGCGTTTAATTTGGGACCAAATCAAAACACAAAATAAAATTTCTTTTATAAAGTTCCTTAGAATCGACCATATTAATGCACTTTGATAAAATGTGTTTTGCTTGGTCAATATTCTTGCAAATTAGGTATGATAAATAATTGAACTGTTTGATAACTCTTTGGTGATGAAGTCACTTCAGGGTGTGAAAGTGAGCGATTTGATTTTTCCATAATTTCAAATGTTTTCTCTCTTAAATGTTTTTCTGTACTTAATTTTCTTTTCAGTTTGTATGGATTTTATGTAACATTAAATTGATTAAAAGTTTTCAACGTCATACCAGTTATGCTAATATATATACATGTATTTGGGTGTATCATAGGCATCTGTACCGGGGGACGAGGGTAGTCACAGAAATGTTTTGCAAAGATATACATATTATAGACATTGAAAATTGGGGCTTACCCCGGGGGGTGGGGGGGGGGGGTGGGGGGGGGGCAGCGTATCCCAAATTTAACGCAGTTTGTGTTGATTTTATCCCAATTTTAATGCACTTTGCATTTTTTTTCAAAGTGCGTAATTTTTTCAAAGTGCGTGCCGCTCAGCTCACTTTTGGTGTGAATTGCAAGCGTCTAACTCTTAATGATACTTATCTTTTAATGTAATCAGTATCGACTATCTACTCTATTACATGTATGACGTATTTTAACCTTTTGTTAAAAATCGTTGTTAGAATGCAACGTATATCATTCCTGCAAAAGTTCTTTTGAGATCAATATTTGATTGGAAATATAACAATTCTCGTTGTACAGCAGTGTCTACTCAAAGAAACATAACCATAATTTTTAAACTGTACTCTTTATGCTTGATGTGATGCTAAATTTAGTTTGAGGATTGGTTGAGAATTAAAAAAGTTACAGAGAAAAAGCCGTTTTCTGTACCGACCCCTAAAACCCTTTCTATTTTTGGGGATTTTTATTTTCATGACCTAACAATCTGCAGACAATGCTTGAGTCAATATTCATATGAATTATCACAAGAATTGCTTGCCTGCCTTTTGAGATAATGGGACAATCATAATCTCAAATTCACATAGAAATCTCCATAGGCAATTTTAAGGGACTCATGAAACCGGAAATACTCTATACATGCATATTCATACAGTACCATTATTAAAACATAGAGAGCATATTAGACTCCAAACAGGTCGAGAAAGAGAGTTAACTCTTACATCATCATTTTTGAAAAGACTTAGAAATACAATAAAATCCCTTTAATTTTAAGAAATTTTATTTTCATGACATAATTACCCAAAGACAATGCTTGAGTCATTATTCATGTGAAATATCACAAGAATTGCTTGCTTGACTTCTTAGATAATGAAACATACGTGATTCCAAATTTAACATAGAAATGTCCATAGACAGTTTTAAGGCTCTCATAGAACAGGAAGTACTCTTCATATTCATACCAAATGTGAAACTTAAAGAGCATAAAAGACTTCAAAATTTTTGACAAAGGGAGATAATTCTTACACAATTAATCTTGAAATTACTTAAAAATACAAACTTTCAGATCTTTAAAACACCTATAAGTGGTCAAAACGTAACCCCACGGACCATAATTTTTAAATTGCCGTTCTTATGCTGAACTCAAAACCGAAATCAGTTTGAAGATTGAAGGATAAAAAAAAAGTAATAAACAAAAATCTATTTTCCGTACTGACCCCTAAAATCCCTTTTATTTAAAAAAAATTATTTTCATGACCTAACAACCCGAAGGGAATACTGAAGTAATTATTCATGTGAAATATCATGAGACTTTCTTGCTTCCTTTTGAAAATAATGGACATTCCATGAAATCAAATTTAATATAGAAATCTCCATAGGCAATTTTAAGGTACTTATAAAACCGGAAGTACTCCACATATGTATACCAAAATTGAAACATAGGGGGCACTTGTTTCATAAGCCGGGTCAAGCCGGTTAATATTTCCGAAGCGGGCAAATCGCTTGTTTCAAATATTTTGAAGCCGCCGGGGGGTCCGAAAGTAGCCCGGATCGCCCGAAAAATTTCGAGCGGCCAAATGAAAAGCAATATGGCGGAAAACGGAGGTAGAAATGTTCTTGATGGTGAAACATTCGTTTGTTATCATTTGCCGTAGTCTCAGTGTCAATAAACATACACTACTGAGATAATAAGAGACTTTTACCACATATTTGTTTATATTTGCACGACCAACATTTTTTTTTAATTTTAAAGCTGCTTTAAGTTCTGTTGGTAAAGAGTCCCCATTGCTCCAAATTCACAAATTGTACATTGAGTGGATCTAGTGAATATTAAAACGAAATATATCCACTAAATCGTTGTTCTAGTGCGTTCAGAGAAATGTTTTTCAGCAACAGCACCAACACCAGCCATATCCGGTTTATTTTTTACTCGTTTTAGCGACACTAACCGGGTCAATATGTCATGTGATAAACGTAAACCGGGTCATCGCCCGGCTGTCTGAAACAAGTGCGCCCATAGAGAGCATATAACACTCCAAACAGGTTGACAAAGGGAGATAACTCTTGCACCAACATTTTTGAAAATACTTAAAAATACACAATTTCAGGTCTCTAAAAGTCCTAAAAGGGGTCAAAAAGTGACCTAACGGCCCATAATTTTTAAATTGCTCTTCTAATGCTGAACTCAAAACTGCAATCAGTTTGAAGATTGGTTTACAAATGAAAAAGTTACGAAGAAAAAACGTTCCTGAGCATATGCGTGTCTTTATACTAAGTGTAGGCCTACAGTTTACACAATTCCTTCATCAATGTTCATGAAAAGACTGAATTCTTAATTTTGATTTATAGGATAATTAAACGAGTTCAGGTGAGATTATAAACATGCACATGTCTATCTAACTGGAGCAGCATCGCTAAGTCAATTTAACGTCATGTCAGTCGGAGATGTTTTCGAATGTTAACCGATCGGGGAGTTTTTAGCATTCTTTCTCTATTATTGCATATAAATTTCCAGAAATCAAATGTCTATTTTCTTGAAAAAAAAATATTTAAAAAATAAAATTTAAAAAGAGTGTGCTTGTGCTACCTTAAAAAAATCATGAAGTGTCAAATGCACGTTGAATATGCATATTACATTACCGATTAATGCAACACAGGTCAACGTTATTTATAATTCGAAATAATTGATGGTCGTCTGGTGATCTTGTTTTTACTCTTGTTAATATTTTGCAAGATAAAAATCATATCAATGAAAAAAAAATCACTAGGCATGCTTTTCTTCATTGTTATAGTTGTAGCGTTTGGAAAGAATTCTTCATAGCTCTACTGCGCCGGTTTGACGTCAAAATCCATTATGTCGGCGTTCTCATATATCTATACCGCGCTGAAATTTATTCCCATCAAAATTTTAATAAACTTGCAAAAAATATAGGAAAATTAAATTCAAAAATAATATCCATAAATTGAAATATTTACGCTCTTACTATGGGTCATACCAGTATTTGAATGTTGGTGTAACATTTTTTCAATATCTGATTTTGTTAAAAAAAATGTGCCAGGCACCCCTACCATTTACACAGTAATATAGCACTGTGAAGAACAAATAGATTTTTTGTTATATACCGGGTTTTTTGCTATTAATAAAACTTTAATTAGTATTTTTCAAACGTATATTATGCCAAATTTCACCGGTAGGAATATACACATTGTCTTAATAATTTCCTAAAATCCCTCGTAATTGAGAACTATTTAATTTTTTTTTTCAATTTGACCTTTCTTCGACATTGACCCCACTTTTCTTAAATTATAGTGTATACGCTAATAAATATTATTCAACTGAATCAACATTTAATGACCTCGAACTTTCTTTTCCTGTCTGAGCTTGACGTCATTTTTCTAGCGCCAAACCTCATATACTGATACATACAGACTTCAAAATGTTTAGCTCACCTTTATATTTATTTTACATTTATACTGTGTATAAAATATTAGAGTTTGATATTTTGAAATGAAAATTAATACATTCAGTACATTGTGTAGAGGTACAGGCTGTCTTAAGGTGAAAACAAGAAAGATTGGCGTAAGTTGTAATCTACTACCAGCTCCTCCTCTAAGTCTTCAACTTATAGAAGATCCTGTCAACGAGTCATTTGCCTCAGAGGAGACTGATAGTGAGAAGGATGAATTTGAAGAAGCCGACTCTTCCCGTCGACCTAGTCTGATGAAATTTTGGAGAGTGACCTTGGGCAAACCTGTTTTTTTTTAGTCTCTGATAATTGATATGTAACATTAATGGAAAATCACAACACTTTGATTGCTATTAATTTTTTATTAAATAGTAAATATAATACTGGAGTTTTATGAAGAGACTTACTTTTACAATCGACGGCTGATTTTTCAATTTAAACAGAGTCAATCATTAAATCATCCAATCATTAAAATGTAAAAGTCAGCTGTCAAATGTAAAAGTAAGTCTCTTCATAAAACTCCATTATAGTCATATTTATCATTTTGTCAGTAAAGAACGTCTAACAGTATAAAGGTTTGAGGCACAAATGTTAACTCTTTTTTATTTCAGGGTCAATTGTGACAGGAAATTCCTTGTTCCTGAGTGTCAGCTGCAGCTTATGGAACTCTTTGCAAATTGTCCCCCTGTGCACAACCAACTTGTGGGGAGATCAAAGAACTGAAAGGATCCTCCATCTCCATCATGCAAGACTGCAGATTTTGTCTCTACCAGCGGTCTTTGAGTAGCCAGCCCCTAATTGGTAGCATTCCAGCGGGTTATTTCGAAATATCCTTGTGCATTTTTGTTTTTAGGATCTCTTCCAAGCAAAGCAGGCAGAATGTTTAAGTTCTTGAACATGACTTCCATCTCCTACGTGACCTTTATGTATCATCAACAGTGCTATCTCCATCCAGCAGTGATCGAAGAATAGAGAGACCAGCAAGCCTCTTATGCACAAGAAGCACGGGCGTCGGGACGGCAGCTACATTTAAGTGGAGATGGAAGGGCATATACACTGGCCATTGTGCTAAGTTTGGAAGCTACACGCTAATGAACATCGAAGAGAATGCGGTGTTTGATCTGCAACTCATACAGGTAAATACAATTAAAGGTGAAAAACTGTTATTTAAATTGTTTTATGAATATGTAAGAAATTGATCTTTTTCTGTGTTTTAAATCAAAGTGATATTAGAACTGCAATTTATTATTTAATCCATTTCATAATAACGAAGTAGGTGGGAGTTGCCATATGGAGAAAGATGGTTTAATCCGAGAATATCGTTACTTGGAACAAATGGATTTAGCAAGATAGTGACTAACAGTCATCTTCAGGTTGCGAAGTGGATGCGTAAGAACCTGCAAGATACAACGCATCGCATCGATGTGTTGCATGTAGCTTTTCCTACTTTAATAAAGCGTACTTTTTCAATTGATGGGAGAAAATATTGCACATAATTAATGATAAATGTAAAAGCATCACTAAATGTTACCTTAATCAGTCAGGCTGAACATATAAGTAATACTTTAAATTTAGGGATTTAAGAAGAAGCCGTTGGCCCTCACCAAAGCAAAGGGCTGCGAGAACCTAAGAGAGTGGATAACAAGTCTGGTAAACCATCTGTATTCGGTACCGTCCTCAGCACTTGCTGACAAAGACAGTAGGCTCAAATGAGAAAAATGGACCAGGCCAGTAATACGAATCTTGGGACCTTTGCCCACCTTCTAGACGGAAGAGATAGTTGAGACCAGCTACATGTAAGATCCTTTTATTACAAACACTCAAGTTCTATTAGGGCTATTATTTCTTGTAATGGATCAAAACATATTTAGGAGTGGGGGTGACTTAGTGCAACGTGTTTGAAATGTAAAAAAAATTATACCGATTTTTTTTAATATCTAGATTTCTAAAACAAAAAAAATAAAATTGAAATATGTTTGTGTCTTTCAGGAACCAAAGTGATGAAGAAGTTAGAAACCATTGCGGGCAGATGAAAGAGGACATCCCCATGCTTTTGTCATCATTTCGAACTTCAAATGTAGAGGCATTCATTCGGTCAAAAACCAGTTTGCGCCAAAAATGTTTATACCATTCATATTTCTTATACTCAGTCATTATAAAGAGAAATTCACATATAGGAAATAATATGATTTACAAATAAATTATTAACAAAATGTTTTCAATTATACTTGGCCTTAGCAGCACTTACTACAACGAAAATCCAATAAGGATCAGGCAGCCACATTAGAAAGGAATTTTAAATACAGCATTGTATTTCCAAAGCACTAAAAGAGGGACTACATTGTGGAGAAGGTGAAGATGAAAGGTACTTATGGGTAATTTATTTTATATTTGGGGATCCTGGAGTTGCGTCATCGCCACTGTGTGACCAGTATGAACACCCCGAGAGGGACGATTCGGTGGGTCAGCTGCTGACAAGGTTCCGGAGGAATTAGGCCATGTGGAATCCCTCGTATTCGCCATATTCTTGACTGCACAAGGAGGAAGTGGTACACGCACGTTTCTCCCAAACCATATACAGCACCATCTAGCCAGTTGCCTGTAACGCATCCGCCTGTAAAATACGAAGTTTGAAACATTTTTGATGAAAAAAAATCCACTTCTTCTTCCATTATATTTTTATGATATCTTAGTATGTTAGGGCATATGTACATTAAAGATACCGTTGTTGCCTTTTACAGTTGTTGGTTATGTATTTTAAGTTACCTTTTTTTCAAATTTCCTGTTTTGATTACTTTTTATTTAGAATTATAATTATTGTTGTCTTCTCGGCTTTATTCATGAGTTGTCAGTTATTTTATTTGCTGTTATGATTTTTAAAATATGATTTTTATTGTTGTTGTGTAGTCTGTTTCTTTGTTTAATCTACGTTTTTAGTTTAATCTCATTCTTTGATTAATATTTGATGCTTAGTCAAGGTCAAATACTTGCAATTTGGCCGTAGATAAAGATAGATCATTCTTACATTGTTGTTGACAATTAACTTATATACATATTGTACGCGGAGAGGTGAATAGTTCAGTTAATTTCAGAAATTTTTTTTTTATTTTCTTTGTTTTTGTTTTGTTCATGCATATCTATCTAATTATAAATTTTGTACCTTTTGTTTGACATTTAATGATACTTTTTTAATATGCATGTATATGTGAATCAGTTTTTGATCTATGGAATCTACAATTCATGCAGGCATGATATACATCTATATATAAAGTTTTTATTCTTGATCTCATAGAATATTGTTAATATATTTTAATGGTGTCTCATTCATGAAAGATTCTTAATCTGATGAAACCTGATTTCAGTTTTTAGTGTTCATTTAAAAAAAAATCTACATATTTTTGTACTGAACATTATTCTAATTATAATCTGCATTTAAAATGGCAATTATACCAACCTGTTAATTTCTGAGAGTTCCTCATCCTGTTGTTGATACACATAGTATGCAGTACGTAGAACTGATAAATTGAGAGAGACTGCTTTAAAACCATTATATTCTGTGATGCATGGCTTCCTGGGATCCTCCTCAAGTATAGTCTTTACTTGTGGAATTTACTGGCAGAACAGAGACTCAGCAATAGTAGTCATTGGGGGGCAGCGACCACAGTTGCACAAAAAATATTTCCGTTTTCATGTAATTTTAATAGGAGAGTATAAATGTTTCAACTTTGAAATGATAAACTACTGCAGTCTGAATATGCTAATCAAATTTTATTCAGTCATGAGCTTTTTTTTTTTTTTTTTTGGGGGGGGGGGGGGGGTACAATACTTTTAACAACTGACAATTGTTAACTGGTACAATAAATTAATCGTTTCAAATTACATAAATCAATATTTTCTTTTAATTCTAAATGACATATTGCATTACAAAATTCAAATTGACTTCAAGAAAAAATAAATTATTCCTAATTTTATTTTAAATATTCCTATCGTTAGATACTTAAATTCTATAGGAAAAATAGATTTTTCCTAGGCCCCTATTTAGATTTAAAGATATGATTGCTTGACTTATGTAGGAAGTTATGTAAAACCAAACCCCACATCTATTTCACTGAATAAATATTGTCATCGTAAAGAGCCGTGGAAAACTTTTTCAGATAGCCAGTCATTCGGAGCGGAACTAAGACAAAATATACCAGTCTGAAGTGAATTTTGTAGGTCCGAATTAGTATGTTGCAAAAGAGGGATATGTTTTGGAGGTCCATGTTTGCTCTGCTCGAATTATGTATTGCTTAATGGACTTGAACAGACCTGGATTTTGAAATCTCTTCGTTATTTGCAGATATTTCAGTTCTTAATTTTCATGAAAAACAAATAATAAATAAAATGTATAATGCAGAGAAAGTTTTTATATGAATAATCTACAAACAATTGACATTTATCAAAATCTAAAGTTCATGGACCACGAAAATATCTGTCCATTCTTCATGTTATTCTCGAAGTTCCATTAGGCATATACTATTACAACATTATTAAAATTCAATCAAGCAAAATTCCAAAAGGCATAACAAAGTTTTCAGCAGATTTTGTTGTGATTGGAGGTTCATCAATCAATAAAAGTTATTGTTTATCAACACTCAAAAATGACCAGAAAAATACAGTTTTCGATTGATTTATTCAATTTATTAACGGATACGGGCAATATATTGATACATAAGTTGAATTCAAAGTTTGACGTTGACAACAAAAATACATGTAGATATATGAAACCTTTTTGAAAGACCTTTGGGAAAGTAAAAATTCTAAACTGTTCAAATCTTGTCCCGCCGGGAAAAGAGTTAGGCTTCACCAGGGAATTAAAATTTTATCTTGAAATATGAAGGAACAATCTTGAAATAAATTCTTAAGAACCTGTGAGCAACTCTTCCTTTGAAGAACAACTGGATTAGAAAAAGCTTAGTCTTGTTCTATTTTTTGTAAAACATACTTCTGTCGGCTAGTAATTATCATTTGGTCCAGTATAGTTTTATAACCTATTTAGAGTATGCTAAATCCGTCAAAACTATTCTGGCCTATATGAAAATGGCTTTAAGTAGGTCAAAATGGAGATTCAAAATGGTGGACATCGATTTTTTTTTCTATTTTTCTCGTAATGCTTCTAAAACATCATAGATGGGAAAAGATATAGATAAGTGAGCATTGTCTGCCAACAATAATTCAAATATTTTGCTTCTTGACATGATAGAAAAAACACAGTAGACAATGTGTGTGTCTTAATGATCAGTATGAAAATTTCACTCTGTATTTGACTTATTGGTAGATTGTATCTGCTGACAAAGGCATCGTTTGGACCAAAAACTTAGAAAATGACAACTTTAACCGAGACATGTTGACATTCTTGTTTCATTCATATGTTTAATTATAGCTTCTCTCGTTTTAGAAATTGTTTATACATAGACCATGTTTCTGCGGCCCGAATCAACTGAGAGAAATAAACGCATCATGCGTTTGATAATGATATCTTAGTACATTAGTAAAGGAAGCTGACGTTTGAAAGCGTCAAAGTCATCGCATTTATCATAAAGCCTGTTGAAACATGTAGGTTACCATAATCTTCTTTGTAAGTGAAGTATTCAAATATGAAAAAAAAAGTGTCGAATTATGATTTTTTCTTTATTTCAATCTCATGTTCTATCAAGGCGACATGAATTATGAACTATATATGAATATGAATTACAGTAAATAAAAATGAGTCATCGAAATATCTCAGTGTCCAGATGAAGGCTAAAG